CGGTCAGGACCGCGTTTGGATACCTCAAGTTTTTGTGTCCTCACGGTCAGGATAGTGGTTGGGATACGTCAAGTTTTGTGGCTTGATTGGGACACCTCAAGTGTTGTGTCTTCGCAGTCAAGAGCCCGGCTGGGATACCTTAAGTTTTGTGGCCTCGCGGTCAGGATCCCGGTTGGGGCCGGGGTACCTCAAGTTTTGTGGCTTCACGATCAAGTTGGGATACCTCAAGTTTTGTGGCGTCGCGGCAAAGATCCCGGTTGGGATACCTAAAGTTTTGTGTTTCGAGATCATCCCGGTTATGGATACCTGGCATATCTCAAGTTTTGGCGTCGTGGTGTCTCTGCTGTCAAGATCCCGGTAGGGATACCTGAACTTTTGTGGCTTTGCGATCAAGATCCTGATCGGGATACCTCAAGTTTAGTGGCTTCGCTGTCAAGCTCCCGGCTGGGACACCTCAAGTTTTGTAGCTTTGCGGTCAAAGATGCTGGCTGGGAAACCTCAAGTTTGTTGGGATTCCTCCAGTTTTGTGGCTTCGTGGTCAAGATCCCAGCTGAAATACCGCAAGTTTTCTGTCTTCGCGGTCGGATCCCGGCTGGGACAGTCAGGATCTCGGTAGCTCCCGGTTGGGATACCTCAATTAACTTGTGTGAGATCCCGGTTGGGATAATCCAACTCTTGTGGCATCGTGGTCAAGATCCCGGTTGGGATACCTCAAACTTTGTGTCTTCGCTGTCAAGATCCCGCTTGGGATACCTCGGCCTTTTGTGCTGGGATACCTCAAGATCTGTGTCTCGGCAGGCAGGATCCCGATTGGGATGCCTCAAGTTTTGTGCCTTCGTGGTCAGGCCCCGGTTGAGATTCCTGAAGTCTTGCGGCGTCGTGTTGAAGATCCCGTTGGGAGACCTCAAGTTTTGTGGCTTGATTGGGATACCTCAAGTCTTGTGTCTTCGCAGAGATCCTTGTTGGGATACCTCAAGATTTGTGGCTTCGTGGTGAAGATCCCGCTTGGAGTACCTCAAGTTGTGTGTCTTCGCTATGAAGACCCCGGCTGGGATACCTCAAGTTCTGTGGCCTCGCAGTCCAGGTCCCGCTTGGGATAACTCGCTGTCAAGATGCCGGTTGGGATACCTCAAGTTTGTGGCCTCGCGGTCAAGGTCCCGGTTGGGATACCTCAAGGTTTCTGGCAAGATCCCGGCTGGGGTACATCAAGTTTTGCATCTGCGCTGTCAAGATCCCGGCTGGGATACCTCAACCTTCGTGGCTTTGCGATCAAGATCCCGATTGGGATACCTCAAGTTTTGCGGCGTCGTGGTCAAGATCCGAAATGGGATACCTCAAGTTTTATGTCATCGCGGTTAAAATGGAATACCTCAAGATTTGTGGCTTCGTGGTCAGGATCCCGGCTGGGAGACCTCAAGTTTCGCAGTTAAGATCCCGTTTGGGATGCCTGGCTTCGCGGTCAAGATCACGGTTGGGATACCTCAAGTTTTGTGGCTTCCTGGTAAAAATCCCGCATGGGGTACCTCAAGTTTTGTGTCATCGCGGTCAAAGATCCCCCCTGGATACCTCAAGTTTGGTAGCTTCGTGGTCAAGATGCCAGTTGAGACACCTCGACTTTCGTCGCTTTTGGGATACCTCAAGTCTTCTGGCTGCGGAGTCACGATCCTTTGGACACCTCAAGTTTCCGGTCTTCGCTACGAAGATCCGGTTGGGATACCTCAACTTTTCTGTCTTGGCAGTCAGGATCCCGGTTGGGATACCTCAAGTTTTGTGCGTTCGCTGTCAAGATCCCGGCTGGGATACCTCGGCTTTTTGCGGCTTTGCGATCAAGAACCCGACTGCCGTACCTCAAATTTTGTGGCCTCGCGGTGAAGATCCCGGTTTTGGATACCTCGAGTTTTGTATCTTGGCGGCCAGGATCTTGGCTGGGATACCTGAAGTTTTCTGGCTGCGCGTTCAAGACCGCTGTGTTGCTACATCTCAAGTTTTGCGTCTTGGCGGTCAAGATCCCGGTTGGGATACCTCACGTTTTGTAACTTCGTAGTCAAGATCCCGATTGGGACGCCTCAAGTTTAGTGTCGTCGCAGTCAGGATGCCGGTTGGGATACCTCATGTTTTGTGGCCTCGCGGCCCAAGATCCTGGCTGTGAAGTTTTGTGTCTTCGCAGTCAGGATCCCGGCTAAGATACCTCAAGTTTCGTGGCTTTGCAGTCAGGATCGGATGGCTCTAGTTTTGTGGCTTCGCGGTCAAGATCCCGGTTGGGATACCTCAAGCATTGTGGCATTGCGGCGAAGATCCCGGCTGGGATACCTCAAGTTTTGTGTCCTCGCGGTCAGGATACCGTTGGGCTGCTTCTGGCTTCGTGGTCAAGCTCCCGCTTGGGACACCTTAAGTTTTGTGGCTTTGCGGTCAAGATCTCTGTTGGAGTACGTCAGCCAAGTTTTGTGTCTTCGCTGCGAAGATCCCGGTTGGATACCTCAAGCACTGTGGCTTCGCAGTCACGATCCCGGTTGCGGTGCCTCAAGTTTTGTGGCTTCGTGGTTCAGATCCCGCAAATTGCTCAAGTTTTGTGGGTTCATGCACGGTAAGGGTCCGGTTGGGGTACCCGAATTGTTGTGGCTTCGCGGCCAAGATGCCGATTCGGATACCTCAAGTTTTGTCTCTTCACAATCAGGATCCCGGTTGCGATACCTCAAGTTTTGTAACTTCGCGATCGAGATCCTGGTTGGGACACCTCAAGTTTTGTGGTTTCGTGGCAAAGATCCCGGTTGGGATACCTCACGTTTTGTGTCTTCGCGGTCGGGGCACCTGAAGTGTCGTGGCTTCCTGGTCAAGATCCTGGTCGGCATACCTCAAGTTTTGTAGCTTCGCGGTCAAGATCCCGGTTAGGATACCTCAAGTTTTGTGGCTTAGCGGCCTCAAGTGTTGCGGTTTAGGATCCACCTGGGATGCCTCAAGGTTTGTGGCTTCGTGGTCAGGATCCCGGTTATGATACTTCAAGTTTTGTGGCTTTGCAGTCAAGATCCCAGTTGGGCTACCTCTGGCTTCCTGGTCAGGATCCCGGTTGGGGTACCTCAAGTTTTGTCGCTTCGCAGTCAAGATCCCTGTTGGAGTACGGAAGTTTTGTGGCTTCGCAGTCAAGATCCCGGCGAGGATACCTCAAGTTTTGTGGCTTCGCGGCCTCAAGTGTTGTGGTTTATGAAGATCCCACTTGGGATGCCTCAAGGTTTGTGGCTTCGCAGTCAGGATCCCGGTCATGATACTTCAAGTTTTGTGCCTTTGCAGTCAAGACCCCAGTTGGGCTACGTCAAGATCCCGGTTGGGATACCTCAAGGTGTGGCTTCGCAGTCAAGATCCCTGTTGGAGTACGGCAAGTTTTGTGGCTTCGCGGCCAAGTTTTGCGGCTTGGCGGCTTCGCGATCGAGATGCCGTGGTCAAGATCCCAGTTGGGACACATCAATTTTGTGGCATCGCAGGCAAGATCCCAATGCCCGTGGTCAAGGTCCCGGCTGGGACACCTCAAGTTTCGTGGCTTCGGTTGAGCTACCTCAAGTTTTGCGGGCTTGTAGGTAAGATCTCGGTTGGGATACCTCCAGTCTTGTCGCTTCGTGGTCAAGATGCTTGACGTTTTGTGATTTCGTAATCAAGATCCCGATTGGCATACCTCAAATGTTGTGGCTTCGCAGTCAAGATCCCGGTTGGGATACTTCAAGTTTTGTGGCTTCTTGACCTCAAGTTTTGGTGGCTTCGTGCTCAACGCCCCGGTTGAAATACTTCAAGTTTTGCGGCGTCGCCCTCAAGATCCCGGTTTTGATATGGTCAAGATGCCGGTTGTGATACCTCAATTTCTGTGGTGTCGTTGTCAACATCCCGGTTGGGATACCTCAAGTTTTGTGGGTTGGGATACCTCAAGTTTTGTGGCTTCGCGGTCGAGATCCCGGTTTGCAGTGTTGCGGCCTGGTGGTCAAGATCCCCGTTGTGATACCTCAAGTTTGTGGCTCGTGGTCAAGATCCCGGCTGGGATACCTCAAGAACGTTTTGTGGCTTTGCAGTCGGAATTCCGGCTGGAACTCAAGATCTCGGTTGGGATATTTCAAGTTTTGAAGCTTCGCAGTCAGGATCCCGGTTGAGGTGCCTCAAATTTTGTGGCTTTGTCCAAGATCCCGGTTGGGACACTTCAAGTTGTGGCTGGTTGGAATACCTTAAGTTTTGTGGCTTCGAGGTCAAGATGCCGGGTTGGGATACCTCAAAATACCGGTTGGGGTGCCTGGAGTTTTGCGGGTGGCCAAATTCCCGGTCGGGATGCCTCACTTCGTGGTCAAGATGCCGCTTGGGATACCGCAACCTCTGTGGTTTTGCGGGCAACATCCCGGTTGGAATACCTGAAAGTGTTGTGGTTCTTGATCAAAACCCCGGTTGGCATACCTGAAGTTACTTGTGCTGTCCTCCTCGAGCCTCTCTCAGGGTGCGGCGTGCTCCCTGGATGCCCGCCATTGCCTCCAGCATCTACGGTGATGTCATTCCACAGAATCATGCCCTCGTCGTTGAAGGTGTCCTCCGCCGAATAGCCCTGGGCCACGGTCTCGTCGTGCGCTTCGTCGTGCCCCTCTTCCATCTCGCCCTTGTAGCTCGCATGCTTCCTTTGGTTGTCTCGGCGCTTGAGGAGGTCGGCTTCTGGGAAGTGCGCCCTCAACTCCTGGGAGATTCGAGCCACCGAGAAATCTCCGCCGGCCGCTGTCTGCACAAGGTTGCGTTCCTGATGATCTCGGTTATCATCTTGAAGGAGCATCCAACCTTGCACCACATCCGGTAGTACGTAGTTCTGACAGCTCCACAGGCAGTGGGCTCTCCCACATCGTTCCATACTGGTTCCATCCACCATATCCTTGTTGCCAGGACCACGACAATGATGATCGGTAGCCGCCGGCGTAGTCCCATGATGACCTCTGCCACCACTCGTCTGCACGCCACGCGTGCCGATCATCTGTCGCTGCAGGCTCTGTCTCCGCTGTAGTCGTCTCCGCATGAGAAGCTGTGGGGCCATCGTCGGTGGTCGACTCCATAGACGTCCTCCGGCTCAACGTTGGTTGCTCGTATCCTTGATACCCCTGATACGCTCGGGGGCCCTGAGGCACGGTCTTCGTGGGAAGGATGCGCATCGTTGCCTGCTGGGGCCTCATATAGCACTCGCTCTTCTTCGTGAGGTACTCATTGCTCGTCTCGCTTTTCCGACGGCGGTCCCTTGGAACAACTTGCCTAAGTGGTCACTCAGCTCGGATAACCGGGGCTTCCCCAGCCCCTGTCGTAGATGCTCCAGTAGGCGCTCTGCGCCACCTGGAAAGCTGAGCCAGTTCGGCGCCGCGTACTCCACGTAGCTCGCAGGATTCCCATTCCAGGCGTCCCTTCTTTCGCCGGGTAATCGCACCATCGCTGCCTGACATCTCTTTACGGCCCTGCGGTGAAGAGCCACGTCTCTTCTTTCCCCGGATCTTTGACGAACCCCTCCTTCACTGGAAGGGCTCCGATACCCTGCAGGCAGCAAGAGAGCCGCTCAGCTTTGCGTGCCGGACAAAACGGGTACTCTTTTGACTCTGGCACCCGATCCTCAATAAGCTGCAACAACCAGCATGCGTGGTTGCAGTACAAGCCTTAAAGCTTGCAAACTCCACACCCTACACCCTACAAAGCTTAACCCTGAGAGCGGAAAGCTTCCTCTTCCACTGCGGATCTTTGCTCTTTGGCCTGTCGGGTTTCGGAACTTTGGGGTTTATGGTTTAGGTTTCGAGGGCGTAGGATTCATAGCATTTATGGGCTAAGATTCGAGCGTTTAGCTAAAGTTTACGGTCTAGACCTCGAGATCGCAGGACTTAGAGTTTAGGATTCAGAGTTTGGGGTTTAGGGCTGTCGTTTTTAGCATGTCGAGACTATGCGGAGAGGTCCTGAGCTTGGTGTTTACCTTCATATGATCCTGTGAGTCAGGTCCTGTCCGGAGTTCTTGCGCCCCTAAGCGCCACTAAGCCCTACGCCCTAAACCGTGAGTTTAGGGCGTCGGATTTACTGCCCGGCTTGTAGGGTTTGGGTTGACGGTACGGTAAGCACTTCTCCGCGCACACAAATCTACGGATCAACAGAAGACATCGTAGACTCCGAAGCCAACACAGTGCACCCCGAACCCCGAAACCCCGAAGGGTTCAGGGTTTAGGGCTTATGGCTTGCAGGGTTTAGGGCTCAGGGCTTAAACCCTCACACCATAAACTCAACACCTAACAACAGACCCGAAACCGGCACCCACAAACTCGAAACCAGAAACCCCGGACCAAAAACCACTAAATCCGAAACCCAAACCAAAACACCCGAGTCAAACAATACAGTAAACCAATCTTAGTTTAAAGCCTTAATCCCTAAATCTACAACCAAAATCCGAAGCCCTAAACCCAAAACCAACACCTTGAACCCGAAATCCTAAACCAAAAATCCGAAAGCCCCCAAAGCATTAACTAAGGGTTCTCCCCCCCTGGCTGCTTCGGCGACGACATCTTCTCTTTGCTGCCACCCGTCTCCTTGGGGTTCATGGCTTCGGGGATGCTTCGCAATCAGGGTGTAGATAGGCAGAGGGTTGAAAGTTCAGGGTTTTTAGGGCATTTTGGTTTTAGGGTTTGGCAATCAGAGTCCTTTTAAAGGTGCTTGGGGCAGAGGGTTGAGGATTTAGTGATTTTTAGGGTTGAGAGGTTGACACCCCTGGAGACTTTGCATTGATCACCGCCTCCCCTAAGCTGTTTCCAGTCAGGGCGAGGCCGCGACGGTCAACCTCAAACTCGCAACTAAAGCTCTTACAGCACCACGGAACCGAAAGCCCCGAACCCTCCGAACTCCAAAACCCCAACTCTGGGGACTTCGGGCTTCAACCCCAAAAGCCCCAGCAGGATGCTCCTTTGTCTTTCTGAAACGGGAGCTGAGGATCTAGCGCTTTGAGTTTAGGGTTCGGGGTACAGGTTTTGGGGCTTTGGGTATAGGATATACTGTTTGAGGTGGTGGCTTTGAAAGGTCAATGGCGAAATGGCTGCTTCGACTTCGAGGTTTTAAGTTTTCTATGTGGGCACGCAAACTTACCCTGCATGCAAGTCTCTTTCCCCTTCACCTTGTCGCCCTTTTGGTTGTTGCTCTTGCCCCTCCCCTTTCCTGATGGCGAGCTCGGTGCTGAAAAGCCCCAGGCACTCGTGATCTTGAGGTTGAGAAGACGTTCAAGATACAGGGCTGCGAGAGTTGAAGCTGTCGGTTTTGTGAGCCTGGCCTTAGGTGTCACCTGTGGCTCAACATTACCTAAGGACCTACGAGTGTAACAGCTACATCTTGTACCCTAAACCCTGAACCCCTAAACCACAAAGGGTTGCGCCACAGGTGGGACAATTCGATCTGGAGCTTTACCAAGTTCCTTCGCAAGAAGCGTCTTGTGTGCTTCACGGTCACAGACTGCTCTCGTCGCTAGAAGCCTGAAACATCCTTACATATTTCAAACCTTAAGAGCAAAGCAAACACATCAAACAAGACCCCCATAAATATATCGCGAAGTCTGACTTTTGATTTCGACGTTTTCGAGCTTCGGCTTTTATGAACTAGGAAACTAGGAGTCACGAGCCAGGATGCTCGTTCAAGGATGATTTGACATCGGGTTGAGGGCAGGCATCCGCTCCCTTTCGAAAGTCTCAAGATAGCAGGAGTCCTATACTTCAGGAATATCCTACACCCTAAACCCTACACCCAAAAGCCTTTTAAACCCTTTTTTCATGTTGAAAATTCAGAACTTAGTACATATCTGGGACATGGGCTTAGGGATGTTGGAGATCTTTGGGTCTGTTGCCATAATACCAACAACGGCAATAATAATCATCCTCAGCATCATAATTATCACAATGATGATGACAAGAGTAATAGTAGCAACAAGAATAGTACTAATAAAAACTATTGTAATTATCATCACAGTAGTAATCATCATCATCATCGTCATCATCGTCATCATCATCATCGTCATCATCCTACTAGCATTATCTCCTTCTTCCTAGTGCTTGCATTGTGCAGTGTTCCCGGTCTCAGCTTGGCTTCGAGGGCTCAGCCTCGGTTCTGTTTGCGCTGCATTCATCTAGCTTCCAGATCGCATCGCAAAGTTTCGAAACTCCAGGAGCTGTAAGCTAAACCAGCACAGGTTGCTAGATGACGACGGGAAAAGAACGGCAACAGGACAACTGGACATCTTGCCACGAAGAGTCGGTCTTCTGAGCCTAGCTTCAAGCGCAAACCTCCGTAAACCCTGAACGTTTGAACCCTAGACTCTGCCCTCAGACCCGAAAACCGACATCGCTGCCTTCAGCTGGCATCGCGCCAGGATAGTGATTGATCCCACCTTGCCATCACCGGAGTCGATCTTCCTTCTCCCCACATGATTACAGGGCTCGCGACCGAAGTTCGGGATTGCAGCTGAACCACAAACCCTAGACCGTGTGAGTCTGAAGCTTCGATTTCTTTTCCCACGTTTGGGCCCCCGGAGTGCATATGAGGAATCCTCCACGGACAAGACTGGGGCCTACCAAGTCAGGGCCTTGCACCAAAAATGGACTTTGCAGCACCTTAGATGATTGCTATGCATGTACACAGACACACATACGACATACTCAGCCCTGAACCCAAAGAAAATGAAAGCATCATGTACCGAACAAGCAATTTCGTCATGCAATCGCCCCTCAACACCTCAACTTTAAGCCCTAAAAAACCCCTAAACCCAGCCTGGGTTGCCCATGCGCACGGGCAGCGGCGGCGGTGGAATGTCTTTTAGATCTGGCCGGCCGTAGGGTTGCTCAAAATCAGGGTTCTTGAGACCGTCTCCCGTTGCGGCCGCACCGGCTCATGAGCTTAGACTTGCTGGCTCTCTCTCTCTCTCTCTCTCTCTCTCTTCTCCATATCTACATGTACAACCTATATATATATATATATCTTCATGTATCTATACCTTTATATATATATATATATATGTATGTATATACATACACACACTTGTATGTTATTGTCCTGTTCTTTTGTGTGTATGTACATATATACATATGTACATGCACACACACACAGCACTTAATTATTCTCATGTCTCTTTGCTTTGGCTTGGCATATGTGCTTGCTGCGGTGGTACTGTGGGTACTGTGTCCACAAAATAGACCAATCAGCTTAACTCTCGCCACTGTTGCTATTGCAATGCTATGACTACAACTGCTCATGCTTCGCACATGAGCCCCCTAAACCCTAAATTAAACCTAACATAGTCAAGCAGTCCTGGTTGGTAGCAGCGTGACGACTGTCCTCAGACTGCTACAATTCTCCTCGCTGCCACACGCAACCCCGGACCCGAAACCCCAAACCCTGAGCAAAAAAACGCCCTAGACCCTACAACCTTAAAAGCCTAGAACCCTAAACTGCCCTAAACCCTAAACCCTAAACCCTAAACCCTAGACCCTAAACCTCCAAAACCTAGAACCCTAAAGCTTGACCCCCGAACACCCTCCAAGTGTAAGTGCTAGACCGATTCGAAGCCCGACCTTAATCCCTATCGAAAACCTACACCCTAAAGCCGACATGATGGCCCCCAACAAACAACCCTGTATAAGACTTAAAGCACTCTGTCCCAAGCTGAAGCATCCGCCAGCGAACCCTAAAAACAGCATGTGGCCCGATGCACACCACGCATACCATCTCCTACAAAATGAAAAACGCAGATCGGAAGACGGTCTTGGTGTGGGGCTTACGAGTTCTGGTATTATGGGGTTGTGGATCTAGGGTTCAGCGTTGTGCGTTATGGGTTCTCGGTCATGGATGGTGGGGTATGGGTTATGGGTTTGGGGATTTAGGCGTTTTGCGGTTATGACACCCTATCGGAATAGGGCCTGGATCACTGGGCGGTCTTCGTAGCCTCGGCATGGCCTCCTGCGGGTCCAGGGGTGACATCTGATTATTAGGGTTTGGGGTTTAGGGCTGAGGATCTTATGTAATCTGGGATTGAGTTCTTGAAAGGGTCTTACAAAGGTAGCATAATACTTTGTGGCGTGGGGCTTTATGACTTTGGATATCAGGGCTTTGGCGGTTTTCCAGTGTTCGGAGTTTAGAGCTTTAGGGTCTAGGTATCGAGGTCTGAGGCTTTGCGGTGTAGGGCGCTCTTTTAGGGTTCAGGGCTTAACATAGGAGCTTCAGCAGTTAATCCTACCATTCCTTGACCGGTTTATTTACTCATGCAGAAGCGAGGTGCTTCCAAGAGTGCCGCAGAACTAGGCACTAGAAACGGAACCGACTTCCCACCGGCAGGCTTTTTCACCCGGCATGCTGTTCACTGAAGCGACATGAGCTGACGATGACACAGTGCTGCTACTCTGACTTGTTGTGCTATAAAAATAA